AGGTTATGGTGAAAGGTTATGGTGAAAGGTTGCTGAGAACTAAGCCTACATGGTATCACAGGTCTTGGCTTGTTATACAGAGGATTTGCTGGGAGAGTAGCGACATTGGTGCAAATCCTCTGTATTGGTGGAGCAAACAGCCACACACACTATGCACTGCTGCAATCCACCTTGGCTTAAATTCTGCAACTCAGACTATACGGAGGAAGACTATATAGCCACAACCCTTGTGTTGTAGGAGCACACACAAACAGGGGGACTTAGTCCCTTCTCCTTCCCCAAATCAAATTCATCTCTGAGCTCTGTAGTTACAGTGCAGAAAAAGGATAGGAGAGGAATATTCTGGTCAGTTCTTTCTCTGCCTCAGTTTTACATCTGAACACAAGGATGGATAAGCTTTAGACAGTTTAACACCCTACATTACTTCATGATCCCTTTTTCCTGGATCAATTTTGTTTAATTATGAAGTCATACAAGCTTTCCTTGCTGAACTTTGTGCTTTACAAAAGATTAGTTCAATGTGACTAAATGTATTCACTACCTTTAATAAAACTGTGGATACAAATGAGGGAAAAGATTTGTCTCCTCTATCCTCCTTCCAAGGCATTGTTGTTCTTTCCAGTGTTCTTTAAAGTGTATTCTTGGTAGGCTTGTCCAAGTTGGTTATAAGTCTTTTTATTTACAAAGAATGACTTGTGGGAGGACATGACTTTGAGTGATGCTGGATAAACAGGGACTGTCCATCAAAGCAGAGTTAACAAATGTTTATTTGTTAGAATCACTAGACATCAGGAATTCTGCTGTCATGTCACTCCTGATATTTCTGAGCCCAAAGAAACGGGAGATTCAGGTAGGTTTTCCAAAATCAGTAATGGGTTCTCTCTGCATAACTTTTGTGTATTCTAGATTTGACATTTCCACAACCTATTTCTCCTCAGGCTAAAATATTTCACTGTTACAATTTGCCAGTGAAATCCTTCGTCTCCCAATTTCCAACTCAGTACCTTTACCCAGACAAACCTCTGCTAGTCTTCTATAGTTTTGTGTAGCATGGGCACACTGTGATTCACAGTTGGTGATTGCTGCAGTGTTTATAATATTATTTTTATAACAATCCATAAAGCTAACATGCACCTTCAGTAAAAGGTTGTAATATGCCTCCTGACGTTCTACTCAGCTGTTGTTCCACTCACAACTCCCACTGAACTACGTGTAATGTTTTGGGTGTGGACTTGCCAAAACGTCACAGGGAAGAACTAAAACCTCTCATTACTCTGATTTGTTGTATTACAGCTTAAAGCCATAATAAGGCTCTGAAATGACTGTGACTCAGATGTCTCTTGGGACAAAGAAAAAGAAGCTTTCAAGGCCAATACAGTCTTTGCCACATAGGGGTGTGGAGAACAGGAATTCCACCTGCCCTAACACCAAATGACAGGGAACAGGAATGTAAGCCATGCTGGCACAGCCTGCTGGAGGCCATGGGTAGAGCCAGAGAACACTCAGCAACAGAACTTCACTATCTGAAGCCTGTTCCAGACCAATGTGGCAGTAAAGAGCTACAGTAACCACAATCATAACCGTAAGACAACAGAGAATAAAACATTAAAAACATCTCAATAAATTGTAGTATAATAAGCCACTGGCTTCCAAGCCTGTCTGGAAAGGCTTGGGAGCTGCTCATCTCCACCTCCCACATGACCTCCCGTGTCACCACAGTTCATTCAGCAGAACTGAGAGCACGAACACTCCCTGTTCCACCACAGCACAAAGGTCTATGCTCTATTCACTGTCTGTGAATGCTTCAAGACATTGCTTGAAAGCAGCTGTGAGGACCATCAGAAAGCTCACAGTCTATGTTCCTCTTACAAAATTTAGTGGGTGCTGAGGAGTACAAATGCACTTACTATCATAGAACAGATTTTTTATCATTTTTCTGCAGAAAAAAAACCACAATCTCTCCCAAATCCTTTATCCTTTAAGAACTTAGACATATAATGAAAGCCATGAGTCATCTGGAGCTACTATAATCAGACTAACATAACTGCAGCTTGATAACAATGGTGCAGCAATGAAATATTCATAAATATTTTTGTCATAAATATTTTTGTCACCTTGGTACCTTCTGTGAATGGGGAACAATGCAATCATAGTCTTGAGATCATGACTGGTATCAGTCTGTCTTATGCCTGGGTTCAAGAGATACTGTCATAGAAGTTACACAACTGTCTGCCAACAGTTATTCTTAACAGCAAATATAATAAAAGGTTTTGGCATCCATACCTGGAAGCCTAGAACTTTCATAGCTTCTCCTCATGTATTCCATGTGCACTTTGAAGGATAACATCACACTCTCCATCTCTCTTTATAGCTTCAACACCTGCAATTTTCCATAAAAATAAGCTGAATCTTAAAAGCATAAATGAATTTGCAAAAATCAATAAGGACAATAAAGTTGGCAAAAATAGAGTAAGAGTGCTGTGAAGACATTAGCTTTCCACAGTACTGCCTAACTAATCTAAAGCTGAAATGGAATAATTACACTTTAAAGAACAGATGGCTTACTAAATACTTGCCTTTTTGTTGTGGTTTTGTTTGTTTGTTTGTTTTTCAATTAAACGTGCAGTCTCAGTATCCAAGGCATAGTTCTAATGTAATAATATCCTACACCCAGTAACTACAGGTCAGTGAAGAAACAGGAAATCCTGCCTTTGCTGGCATGAGAAAGTAAGTGAATGGGACTACCCTCACCCAGCAAAGCTTCCTGCCTGGTAGCACTGAGAAGCTTCCTTGTGCTGGACCACTCTGGGATTAAACATGGGAGTTCAATTTCCAAAAGTGTCAGTCAAGAACCTTTCAAACAAACTAAATTCATATTGAAGTGCTAAAGGAAATGCATGAAATAGAAGCAAGTCATTCAGTGTTCAAAAAACAGAGCTGATTTAAAGCAAACTACATAACCTGTTGCGTGGGTGGACTTTTATCTCATGTGGGTTTAGCTGGCAGAGCTAAAAATGTTAGCCAATACAAGGTTAGAGGCCGTCCTCTGAACAGATGTAGATGATAACCCTGTGAGCTCAGCTGTCTGCTCGAATCACCTTGCAAATGATAGTGTGTTTCCAGCAAAAATTACAGGAATTTAGTCAGTTTGTTTGGACTAAGTGAAATTGCACAACTATACAATTCTGCACGCAAATGCTGTGGAAGCGCTGTGGAAGCACTGTGGAGGCTTCCTCATTGGGGCTCTAAATAGAAGGTACCAGAACTCTATAAACTCTTCCCAAACAAAATAATCCTTCCATTTCTAGGGATTAAATGTGGCCCAGCAATCTTTCTTTGCCCTTGGTACCACATATGCAGCAAAGGTCATTCTCTTTCAGTATTTATTCAGAATCTTAAAATTTAGCCAATTTAAGAGTTTCTGACCTCTCAATGAGGGGCTCGCAATCCCAAGTGTCATTTATTTTAAAGGCCCAGTTCCTGCAATCCTGTGATCATCCTCCCACATTTCATTTACAAATGTAAAAAGCACAGGGTATGCTGGTGTTTAACAGTACTCTAAAGCTGATTTATGTGCTGAAGGCAGCCCATCCACGGCAGCCCGGAGCTGCACACAGGCAAATTCCCCCTGCTGCACTGTTCAGCATGCTGATACAGCAGGTATTGACACAGCATGCTCATATATTGCAATATTGATACAGGATATAGCAGGTAAATTTCAAGCCTTCATGACTCCCCAGGGAAGCACATGAAATAGAAATCAAAAGAAGGTTCAGATTCAATGAACCCTGCTTCTCTTCTGGTTTTCCTGATCTGGGGCGAGGTTCATTAGTTCTGAGCAGAATGCCTGATCTCTGCCAGTCCGATAGCAGAGCATTTTGGCTGCAAGCCCAGCCTGCCTCTACCTGCAGTACTGCCAGCTCCTGCTGTCTCTAGGCCCTTTATCACTTCTTCTTTAGCCTAGAAGGACTGTGTTGTCAGAAACTCTCCATAACCATCACTAAACGTCACTGCTGAGTGACGTGAAGGCTGAGCACCCACAGTCCTCCAAAATCCTCCTGAACAGAGCAGAGAGACCTAGGGCGGAAAATTGAGTCCAAGACACTGAGTAAGCAGAAAATTCCTCCAACACCAGACTACCAGGCCATTCCTCAAATTTACCAAAGCATTTCAGCAATGTGCTCTACAACCCTTTTAAACACCCTACGGTGCTGGATTAATTATGGCTTCCTCCTATTGCTCCCATTAAAAACTTCTGTTAGTTCATTATTCATATAGAGGTCAGACACCCCGAGGACAGTGTAAATGGAAAGCATCCTGGATGGAAAACAGGCTTAACGCTGCTTTTTAGCTACAATTCAGCATCAAAGTCCTGCGTGGGAAAACTGAGGCGAGCAGCGTGGTGTGATGTTCTCGTTCGACAGCAATGTCAAACACAGGAGTATCTGTGTTTGCACAGAGAGGTACACTGCCGGGTTCAACATTTCATCGTGCGAATGCTCACACGGAGCAAGGATACAATCTGAGGAGGGGGCGGAGGGCACCCCCCGCCCCCCCGTGCTTCGCGCTGATGGGAGCGCCGCTCCCGTTACGGGGCCCCGCAGGATTTCCTGCCTCGGCAGCCCCTCAATTCCTGGAAGCGATGTCTCCCGAGGGCAGGAAGGGCGGGCGCGGCGCCGCCGGCTGCCCCAGAGCCCCCGTGAGGGGACGCGGCGACCCCCGGGCCCCCTCAGAGCGGAGCGGCGCGCGCACCCCATCCCCCAACCCATCCTCCCGCGCGCTTCCCGCCGCGCGCGCGCGGGCGCTGCTGTAACGGCCGCGGCACCGCGTGCCGGGGCGCGCTCACGTGACGGGGCTGATTGGCTGGGGCGCGCGCGCCCGCTCCGCTCGCGCCGGGCCGGGCAGGGCAGGGCGGGACCCGCCGCACCCGGCACCGGGCATTGGGCACCGCACACGGCACCGGGCACCGCACACACCTCCCACAGCACCGGGCATTGGGCACCGGGCACTGCACACACAGCTCCAGGCATTGGGCACCGGGCACTGCACACACAGCTCCAGGCATTGGGCACCGGGCACCGCACCAGGCACCTGGCACCGCACCACACACGGCACCGAGCATTGGCCACCGAGCACCGCACACACCACACACAGCGCCGGGCACCACATCAGGCGCCGCACCGCGCCGGGTCGTCTCTGTCCTGCTCCCAGCGGGTCCCGCTCCGTGCTCAGGTGAGACGCTGCGGCCCCGGTCGCGGGAAGAAGGGAGGAAAGGAGGGAGGGAGGGAGCGGGTGCTGCCCAGCGCTGCCCAGCGCTGCCCGCTGTCTGAGGTTCCCGAGGCTCTCCCCGCGGGACGCGGTGACCCGGCGGAGCCGGGCGCGGTGGGAGTTGCGCTGCGGGAAGGAAGGAGGGGTGGGTGGCTGAGGAGCCCAGCGGGCCGGGGGCGCTCCCCGTTCCAGGCCAATCCTGAGCGGAGCCCCCGGCTCCTGCCCGAGCGGGGTCGCGGTACCCGCGCGGCTCTCCCTGGTGTCCCGTGCCCTTCAGCGGTAAGGCCAGAACTGCTGACGGCTCGCCCGGGTGTCAGGCGATGCTGCTGCATCGCTGCCGAGCCACTGGAGACCGTTAGGCGCGTTCCAACAGTGCGCTGTGGTGTTTATCGGCGCACCTGGCAGGACTTCTGCAAGTTCATGCAGAAAATTTACCGTGGCTACCCCCTCTATGTGAAAACTAGGTGGACAAATCTAAAATCTGTTTGTATTTCGCTTTCTAGATGTTGGTTTGGCACGTTCTCCATAGAAATGAAACTTTCTTTTCCTGTAGAATCTCCAGGCGCTTTCTGAAAGCACTGTTTGAAAAGCAATTTGCTGAATTAACGTAGCCTGCCCAAAGATAACCTGAGTTGACGTACTAGCAGAATAACATCTATCTCGTGAGCAGAAATGGAATATTCCTGCCCTTAGGTTCCTTTCTAATCTTAAATTATTAATGGTTCTCTGCATTACAAGAATGAAATTTGTAATTGGTACAGAGTGCAAATGCGTGTAGAGAACTGGATACAAGAAGAGCTGATTATGAAGAAAGATGTACCTCCCCAAAAGACTTGCAGGAGAATGAAGTTTGAGAGCCTCTTCTCTTCTTTACAGTTGCTGAGAACCTCTGTGGAGAAGCACTGGGCTGTATCCAGCCCAACTCTTTTGCAGCTCTCCAAAAAAAAAGGAATGAGAAAAGGGCAATACTTTTCCCTACTTGAGGAGCATAGGAAATTAGAGCTTTAGTACGTGCACTTTTTAGCAGCTGTTAAACTAAGTCGTTATGGGTGCTCCTAAGGCTGAGTTAGTGGCAATCATAGTGTCCCATCCTCTTTTAGAACCTGATTGTCAACTTCTCACCAAATGTTGTCATTTGTACTTAGTTAAATAGAAATATTTATATCACATGTCTCAATTTCTTTTGTCTGTGCAATCCATGCAGGAAAAAATTCCTTTTTCTCTAAGGGAGACCCTAGAAAAAGCACACTTGCCTAAACTGAAGTAGAAAGGGCAATACACTTGCATTTACTATGGATTCTAGAACATTAATGGTTTGAAAATGTCTCGAGAGGAAATGTTTGTTTAGGTATCAATGGGAGGTAAAATTTCTACTGTCTGTTCAACCATGTAATGTACAGCAAGTGAGGTGTGTCATAGTAAAGATTACAACAGTGAATTAAGGTGCTGCTCTTTCTTTTACTTGAACTTCTTCCAGTATTTGAACTCTTAAAGGCAGAAGTTTGAAGTGAGGCTTAAAAGCATTTTTCTTCTACGGAATCCTTCAAAGTTTGTTGGAAGAGATTTGGGGCAGATGTACTGTGAATGTGTGGTGTTACAGAAACTGAAAGCAATACATAGAGACGATGGGCTGTTAAAAGGAAACTAGAGTAGTTTTAGAGGATAAAATTCTGCAATGTTTTTAGTTTTGTAATAATCTTTAAAAAAAACCCAGGGGTGAGACAAAGACTGGATCAGCTTAGGCTTCTGAACAACCCAAAGATGAAGCTGAGGTGGATTTGAGGAGAAAATTGGGCTGAGTTTTCTGTAGTATCGCTGTGGTAGAGGAGTGTCTTGTCCATAATAGAAGAGGCTCCTAGACCCAATCACACATGATTGTTGGCCCCAGCAAGTCATCCAGGCGGCCTAGTGTTCCACCTGGCCTTGTCTGCATTCCTTCTGGGCCTGGTTTACCCTGGAAACGTTTCACCTGCCAACCTGCAGCAACAACCACCTGCTCCTCACCTTCCTGCCTATTTAAAGGAAATTCCACCCTTGGGAGAATTAGACCATATAAGTACATCCCTCCCTGAATTGCTCTGTGTTCCAGCTGGCTTTAGTGTCCCTCAGCTTACCCTGACCTTGCTGCATGTCCTGCAGACAGTACCACGGTGTGCTTGCTGTTGTGGGTGAGTGTGAGTTCAGGTGGTGACTGCCTGGGTGTGGAGCAGATGGAAGAAAGAAGGAATTGCACTGCCACGGAAGGAACTGGTGCTCTTTCATGCAGGCACTCAGTGTGAGAGTTGTATAAAGCCAGCTCTCTTCTCAGCTGTGAGAGAGACTCAGATGAGGAAGGTCCATGTAAGGTTTAGCATCTCTATTCTTCTGAGTGCAGATCATAATCACAGAGATAGAAGATCTGCTTGGTATGAAAGATGTTTATAATTTGAAGTTGTAATCAGTCAGCACAATGCTAATTAAGAATTGAGCCTTTCTTTTGTGGTCCCAACTATCTTCATGACCAGAAACTCAAAGACTGAGGGTGGGGGGATGGAGGCCAGAAACATTTTTCTGTGAAGTGGAACTTTTAGGCTTATGCTTTAGTAATGATGAAAATCAGGTTTAGCTACATTTCTATCCACTTACATTCTTCAAACAACTGGTCTGACTTTACAGCATAACAATTTAAAAAAGGTCTCAGCAAGCAGGAGAGTCTCAGTGTGTCCTTTAATAGGACAATAATGTAAATAATTAATGATTGCTGAAAAAGAATTATGAATGAACTGGTGCATGTCTGTTTGAGAGCGAGAAGGATCTTGATGTATCTTTGGAGGCCACATTTCTGGATTTTAATGAGGGCAAACCAGAGAAAGGTTGTTAGAAGTGTATGAGATTTCAGTGAAATAAAAACAGAGAGAGTTCTCGGTTTAAGAACAGGTAAAACAGATCCTTTTTTTTTTTTTTTCTAGAAGCCTGTTTTGAAAGAGGCTGCAAGTAACTTCTAATCTACCATTAATAAAATTCTCAGTAGTTGTAGCTGCATGAAACATGGCAGTTCAGGAAGACAGATATGGTCTTTGCCAAAATGCTTATTATTAAGTATCAAAGGGAAGTGAAGACTTCTAAAGAGATATAAAGATCATTTCTCTATCTCTTGTGTCAATCCCTTTGGCTTGCTTATTCCACAAAGGTGGAAAGAAGTGTTACTTCATTTGCTGCGTTTGCCCTAATTGTTGTCTTGTGCTGGGTATCTACAGAAGGTGGGAATTTCTGTGAGAAGCTAACTTCAGTCCTAAATTCAAGTCTGAAAAGTTGCTGATAAGAAGGGAGAAATGCCTGGAGAAGCTAAATGGGCCACTAGTCTGTTCAGCTGAAGAATCTGCATTTCACGTATGCTACTCAAGCCAGAGCATGAACCTCTGAAACCTACTTGTGTCACTGAGCATTGCTTTTATGGCACCATCTGAGGTGAAATCAGTGTTGCTCCCACTTTTGCTCCTGGATGGGAACCAAGCCACAATAACACAGACATTTACCAAACCCAGCTAAGCACTTTTATAATAAATTTCATTTGGGACCAAAGGGGAAGCAACACAGAAGTCCCAGTTCACGTGTCATCAGGCTGCCAGCTCATATTTTAGTCTTGATGCCTTCTTGAAGGTGGACAAAGAAACCCTTCTCAGAGTCTGTTACCTAACAGAGAGGAGATGGTCAACTGTGATACAGCAGTGCTCGCTTATGACACCTAGGGTGATTTTTAAAATCCAAATCCAGAGGAAAATTATTAAAGAACAAGCTTAATTTGACAGAGCTGTGTCAATCTGCAGTTATGCTCAAGAGCTCATCCAGCTGCCCATGATTTCTTCAATGCATTGGAGCAAACAGTACTTTAATGAAGATTTTCAGTCTACATGTTTGAAACTTTAAAAACTGTTTTGTGTACCAAGCGGGCCTGTTTAATAGTATAAAATGGACCATAAAAGATGTCTTTGCTACTGTATGTGTTGTAATTTTAGGTTGAAAATAAGGTTTATTCTCTTTTTTTTTTCCCCTCTCCTTTCCTCTTCAGGAGTGCCACAGTAAGAGAAAGACATGAAGTATCTGTAAAGGAATTCTGCTTTTGATCAAGCTGCTAAAAATGGATATGGACATTATTTTCTCCTTTGAGGTAAGTATTGACAGGGAGAAATAAAAGAAAACCTAACTTGTTTCTCTTAGTGTTGCCTGTCACCACTGCTGTTCTGTCCAGCAGCTTTTTGTCACGTATTTATTTTAAAGGTATAGCATCTGTGTCTTGGTGAACTTTGTACTGGAAGTCTTAAATGGAAAAGTCCTGGAATTAGTCCTTTCATTTACAGGATTAGTCAGCTTTGTTCTGATATTCCAGTAGATATAAACAAATGTATAAAGGATGGGTGTTGTTGCCGGGTTAGCAATGGGTGGCTTCTGCACAGAGGAGCTTTTGACCCAGTGTCAGGCTTTTTTCAAAGCATCAAGAAACGGAAGCTGCTAAGCCTAATTTTCAAGAGCGAATACTTACACAGACTAACTGCAGATGCAGGAAATGAGTGAGATCCTGGGATGAAAAAAGAGCTTGCACCACAAATATGCAGGTACTGTTTCATGCATCCAAGCAGGTTTCTGAGTTCCTGCTCTCTGCAGCCTAGGGAAAAGGGGGGCTGTTGCCAGCCTGAGTTGCAGGTGCATATTTATATTGCTTTTGTCAAGTACCACAGCCAGATCTTCACAGTTCCTACAGTAAGCATGTAAGTTAGTAAAACCAAATATGTGGCCTTAATTTAGGATCACAGGAAAATTCAGGTTGTAAGGAACCTCAGCAGATCATATAGTAAAGCCCTCTGCTCAGAATTTAGAGTAGTCAATGAAATTAGGTCATTTTCACCCACTGGCCTTCTCAATCTATCATATATTCAGAAGCATTAACAAAAGATGGATTTATATCTTGCCATATGTATTGAATGCACATTATAATAACGCAGATAGGAACATAACATGCTACTAAAATTTGTCAGAAGGGAAAATGTTTTAATTAAGACAGGATTGTACAGGAATGGTCTGTTTTTCTGAACAAAAAAGGAAACAATAAGTCTCTAATGTATTCATTTCTTGCAATTGCAAATGAAACCTCTGCAGGTCAGCTAACACAGTGACATGCTGCCAGTATTTTCAACACGGGTTCCCTGCAAGAATTACCCCTTCCCAGGCATCTCTAGGGAATCTATTTATTTACTTCCTCATGTAAGCAAAATTGCTTTCTCATAATAAAGGGAAGGGAAGTGAACACATTGCTTATCCTGTCTGATACATGTTACGGAAACATTTCCTCTGAAGTATAAATATTTGTTCATGGGAAAACATAGTGACAATGTGAATAAAAATAAGCATCTTGTAGGAAGCTTAGGGAGCAATGTCTCCCCTGGGCTCTAAAAGTAAACACAAACCAAGCATCCCCCCTCCCCCCATCATTATGTACTACCAGGCAGAATGTTTTGTGAGCAATAGGAATAACTACTTTAACTGTTTTGGTCAGGGAGGGTCATACAATGAAGGGGTTAATCCTGTCAGGAGAAAGATATTTTAGCATTCAGAGCCTCATAGGAGGGTCATTGAAGTGAAGAGACACTTGGTTTACTTTGGATTTATGCTTATCTCAATGTGCTTTGAATTGATCCCTCAAAATTGGTAATTTAATAGCTTTAATAGTTACATTAGTAATTTAATGAGCCCCTTTCAGCACATCATCAAAGACAAACATATACTTTGTGAATAAAAATAGAAGTCATTTTATAGGTAATGCAGTTCCTGAAAGCCAGTCTGTAATATTACATATATGCAAGTTGTGATTGTCGTGGTTTAACCCCAGCCAGGAACTAAGTACCAAGCATAAGCTGCTTGCTTATGCACCCCAGTGGGGTGGGTAGGAGAGTCAGAAAAAGGTAAAACCCATGGGTGAGATAAGGACTGTTTAATTCTTCAAATAAAATATAATAATCATTGCAATGGGAAAGGAGACAACAAAAAGAGAGAGAAATAATACTTCAGAAAGACAAATGATGCACAGTACAGTTGCTGACCAAGGCCTAGCCCGTCCCTGAGCAGCAATTGGCAGCTCCTGGCCAAATCCCCCTAGTTTATATACTGGGCATAATGCTTTATGGTATGGAACATCCCTTTGGCCAGTTTGGGCCCCCTGTCCTGGCCATGCTCCCCCTCAGCTTCTTGTGCACCTGCTTGCTGGTGGAGCATGGGACACTGAAAAGTCCTCAGTTTGGAGTGAGCATTACTAAGCAACACGTACAACATCAGAGTGTCATCAGCATTCTCAATAAATCCAAAACACAGCACTATACCAACAACTAGAAAGAAAATTAACTCTATGCCAGCTGAAACCAGGACAGTGATGCTATGAATTATTTAATATGCACTAAAACTGATCTCAGCATCAAAAAGTACTTAATAAGGGAAATGGCACACCTTAGAACCCAAATATCTCTCTTTACCTCTGCTTCCAGTTTCAAGTCTGACTTCCCAACCTGATTTTCTGTCTCTAAATGAATTTCTAAATAACATGCATAGGTCATGTAGGTAAATTACAGAATAATGTTCTCAGAAACTTGCTGTGTCCACACCAGTTCCTGTTGCTTCTGTGATTTACTTCTCAGAGAACGTATCTGCAGATCTGAACAAAAGCTAACTTGTGTATTGTTGTGTGCTTGAGGCAGAGAATGCTACACCTGTGGAAGGCATGTCTTTGTAGAGGTGTTATTTGCTCCTTAATATCCTGGTCACAGCTTATTTGCTTATGGGCTTTTGTGTCACTTGAGGCATTAGGAGACGAGTAGTAGTAAATTTAGCTCTCTGGGTAAAGAAGGTACTGCTTTCTGAGATTACTTTCTTCATGCTCAGTGGAATAAAATAGCTACATGTGTGATAGCCTCTACAGTGCAATCTGGTAATTTAATTTAGCTGACAATTCAGATTGGTAAAAACAAAATCCTGGACTGTGCAAACCCAGTAGAGGTGTGTATGTGTAATGGTAACCTTCAGCAAAATCAAATGCAGCAGAGGAAATTCTGAATTTTAAAACTACTTGAGCTAGTTCTTTGCACGGTTATGATTGCTTGTGGCTACAGATTAGAAATTTGAGGAACTGCCTTGTGTGTGTGGTTGGGGTGTGAGGGGAAGTGCAGTGTTGCTGTTTGTTGCTTTTGATCTTTGTGATTAAATTTATGTTCTCTAGCACTGTTTATCAGACTGTTGAAATCTGTGTTTTTAACTTCATCATGGGATCTCCTATGCTTTACATAAGGGAGAATGAATGATTTACACACCACCAATGCAGAATCAAGAACAATTTGTTATTATTAGGTGTGAAATGAAGATAGAAATTAATTCAGGGAGCTTAAGCATCAAGGTCCCCAACTTGTGATATAAAAGCACTGCTGGTACTCCAAATCATTCTCTTGACAACTGGAATTACCTGTCTCTCACACTTTTGGAAGCAAGGACCTAAAACTCTCAAGATGAGGATTTGCAGCAATAAAAACATAGTCTGGTGACAGTACCTGAGCTTTAGCTACTTGCTTGTTTTCACCACTTTGTTGGTTGTTTCTTCTACATGGGCTCCTACATGTGCTCAGCATGGGCAGGTGTTCCATTAATTGCCCTGAGTAACAGGCACTGTTTACACTTGAGGCGAATGTTATGGTTCCTGTGGCTGTCAATGTTTCAGTTCTTGATTTATGGCCATTGTCAACACTTAAGTTTGGCTCTTCTATTTCAGAGACATGTGTTTGACTGTTATGTGTGCTTATGACAGTAATGTAGATTATTGGTCACTAAATACAGAAGAAAGTTTCAAAAAACAGTTCCCAGTATTCTAAGGAAAATACCTGTAGGTCAGGCTTTTCTTGAGGCAATGCAACTTTCTCCTTTGAATTTCTCCAGGGGTGAATTTGTTCTTTTAATCCTCCTTTCCTCGTGTGTTTGCAACAGTGCTTCCCAATGGCAGCACTATAATTAAGGAACTCTCAACATTTCTCTTACAGTAATGGTGCAGTAATATTTTAACTGTAGATCTGAATTTCAGCTAATGTAAAAAATTTGGAATGGTGGAGAAATGTTTACCTTCTGTCACAGATACAGTTTGATGAAATTTTACTGGCAATTGCTTTTGTAAATACTTCATACTTTTTCCCTGCAAAAATATTTTGGTGATGTGATGTGGGAGGGATTCAGTTCTCTTGAGGATTTTACAATGCTACAAAATGAACCCTGCTCTAGCAATTTTGCCAGTATGTATGGGAGTAAATGGAGCTCGTTAGCCCTATAAGGTAATCCATCTACGTCCTGAGGACCTCGCTGCCACCGCCCAAGCTCGCTTGGCCCCGGCAGATGAACCTTAGGATTAAAGGGTGGGCTCAGTTCCGCGCACACTGTGTCTCACCTAAAAAATCCAATGCGCAGGCTGGAAGGTGTAAAGACCTTCCCCGGATCTTCGCTCGTGAAGACTGGCCATTATATTATTATATTATGTTAAATAAGATTAATACCTTTGTAGTTCTTCCCTTCTGCCATTACCAAGGAAAAGGACTCTTGCCTGACTTGGAAAAGACTATAAAAGGATTCTTTAAAAATAAAGCTCTACGTGCCTTGCTACTTTATTAAAAGAGAAAAAAAAACCCTGTTAGTAGAATTCATGATGCTTTGGCAATATGACTTCCAAACAATGAGAAATTTCAAGGCACTGGAATATTTTTGATTTTGTTAAAGCTCTCTGATGCCTGGTTTTCAAAACCACTGCTAGTGGTTCTAGTTTGGTTTTAATTTTACAGCGATAAATTCTGCTCCTGACATACTTAAATGCTGAAGTTATCAATGTATGCATAATTGGAAAGTGATGGTTTTTTCTTCATACTTTGCAAATTACGCAAACATACTCCTTTAAGCCCTCTGATTTTTGCCTATTCTGCATGTAGCAATGATACTCTGGCAGCTCCTGGAGTAGTATGTTCTACACCCTCTGTAAAAACTGCAAATATGTGCAAGAAGTACATGATTACATGGTCCATGGCTTTTGAATGGTAGCATTAAAAAGAACAGAATCCTTCTTGGTAACTATTCCTAATAAACATAATTAAGGAAAGT